TAATTCCATTATGGATAAGATTTTATTTTGATAAATAACACAGTGTTGTACAGTAATATTAAATGATGACGTTTCAAGCACAAACTATCGCTCATAATCATATCCTTTGGTTTACTTTCTTCCCTCAATATACCATCGTCATGACACAAATAGAAATCAATATTTTGCATATTTTGATGTGAAGGGTTTTATATTAGTGTAGAGGCCATGTTGAGGAAGTAATTGAAATTAAATATATTTGTTTGCCCAACATTTTGTTTCCCCAAACGCGTTAACAGAAATTCGGAAATTACTAAAACCACCTGAATATTGTTTTGTGTTGAAGATCTTCATTGAGTATTTGAAGTATAGCGGAATGCTCAGTGAAATGCAAATCTCCATAAGTTTTAACCATGAATGCATCAATACGCTATGTCACACTTTGAGATCCAACACTGATACATGCAGTGATCTGTTACTTATGAAACATGTTATGTAAAAAAACACAACAGTCGTGAAGTAACCTTATTTCACCCTTTGTGAATAAACTATGCATTGACTTATGAGAGAATATTAGTTGTTTTAATCTCGGATAGATGTCTGTGGTATTTGTTGTGTCTTCTAAAATTGGAAGGTTACATTTTGAGTTTGCCAACAGGATTGTAACTTTGCTTTTCCACAACCACACAGCACAAGCCACATAGTAAAGATGGTAGTTACTACAATCCGTTGGTTCTTGGCACAGGTGAATGTATCGCAAAATGTGCGAAATAGATAATCTTAGGAGTATTGGACAGCTTTTTTATCTTCGTCTTCAAATGGTTCTCTGACTGATGTCAGCTCATGATTATTATTTAAAATGTTTCCAACCTGATGATTTACGAGTATATAATAACCTTAAGAAAAAGCATCATGCTGGGTGGCAAAGATCGTTAAAGTCCACTCCAATGCACCAGATGACTGTTCCTGTGATTATGAGCACAAATTGCAGGTCATTATCGAACAAGATTAACTACTTGCATTCTCTATTATACTCAAATGTATATTGTAATACTGGTGTAATCACTCTTCAAGAGACTTGGCTCCATGATTCATATGACGATAATTTAGTCTCCTTAAGTGGGTTCACAATCTACAGACAAGACCGATGCAGCTCAAAGAAGAAGAGAGAGGTGGTGGTGTTGCCACTTTTATTAATTCTCAGTGGTCTACTGCCAACAACGTCTGCTTCAAATTCTCAAATGACAATATTGACTGTATAACTGTAAAATGTCGACCTAAACACTTACCTAAGTATAGCTTCATTTTTGTCACAAATATCTATATCACACCTTGTTGCAGTCCCTCAGAACTATCTATCTTCGCTGATGAATTCACTATTTTTGCTGCTGCTTCGTTTGGTAACTCCTTATCTATAGTGACTGGCGACTTCAACTCCAGCGACTGCAGTTTTATTACATTGCTGGGCCATGAAAATGTTGTTAATTTCCCAACTCGACAAAATACTTCACTTGATTTAGTATTTATAAATGATTCTGGAATATACGAAGCTCGTAAAAGAGCCCCACTCTTCAATTCTGATCATTGTATTGTACGAGTCTTACCCAAAATTTACGGAAAGTTACACAGTAAAGCCCTCTCAAACTTGTCTAAGAAAGTTGTTCACAGATGCTACTCAAATGAGAACGTACATCATCTTAGAAACATGCTCAGTGACACAAGATGGGATTTGTTTAATGATGATTCACTTGATGACAATATCTCTAATATTACATCCTATCTGAAATTCTGTTTTGAAATCTGTTGTCCAAAAGAAACACTATTCGTCAAATTTGACCGTTTCTCCTCGCCTCAACTTAAAAAGCTTCGTAGAGAGAAGGAAAAACTATATAAAATCAAAGATAAAATTGGTGTAAAAAGAACTAACTTCTTAATTAAGTCTGAAATGCAGAGGTTGAATGTAATATATAACCAGAAATTCATATCCTGCAAAAATCCTTCTAATATGTGGAAACTATTTAAGGAAATCACTGGTGGTAAGCAGATAAACAATATTCCATATTCTTTTGATGTATGTACTCTTAACAAATCTTTTATTTACTCTCCCTCAAATGCCATGCTTCCCAGCATCACTTGTGTTAATAATAGCCCCTTTCCAGGTTTTAACACAAATGATGTTCAAAAGTGCCTCAAGTCTCTAAACCCTTCCCAGAGCTTAGGTCCCGATTATGTACCTAGTATTATTTTTAAAAATGTTCTGATATTCTGTGTCACCCTCTTACTGATCTATTTAACAAATCTTTTTCCGATAATATTGTGCCTGCCGTTTGGAAGGACATTAAAGTTGTACCCATACCTAAATCATCTACTGGAGCATGTGTCAAATTTAGACCCATTGCTATTACCTCTCCTTTTTTGAAAACTATGGAGAAATTACTTTTACTTAGTCTTGTACCTTCGCTTAAATCCTTTAATGACCCTAAACAATTTGCCTATAAGCACAGTAGAAGCACTTTAGATGCAGCTGCCGTCTTATATCATAACATTGCTTCCAGTCTAGACAAGGGGGCTAAATTTGTTCGTTGCGCCTTCCTAGACTATACATCTGCTTTCGACTCGGTCCCTAGGGACATCTTATTAAATAAACTTGCTGCTAGTCAAACAGAATGTTGGGCTGTTAACTGGTTACATTCCTATTTCTCAGATAGAAAGCAGTACACCGTATATAAAGGGAAGTCTTCCACTTCATTGCCTACTGAAGCTGGTGTCCCTCAAGGCGCTGTTCTTTCTCCTTTTCTTTTTTCTTTCTTCTTGCATGACTTGCCTCACTCTGATGAAATAAACTTTGTGAAGTACGCTGATGATTTAACGGTTTCAATGGCTGTTAACTCCCAGCTAGATTGTACTAAAATAAATAGCTTTCTATCGGAAGTCAGCAAATGGTCTGAGTCTAACGGTCTTAAACTGAATCCTTCTAAGTGTCAAACTGTTGATTTCAGCTTAAGATGTAAACGACAGTTAAAAGAAGTCATCGATTCTCATGACAGTTGTAAAATTGACGACAATGATATAGGAATCAAATCAGAAATTAAGTATCTTGGACTCATTCTCTCTTCTGATCTCTCCTGGTCTTCCCATGTCTTAGCAATCTCCAGTAAAATATTCCGCCTGACATTTTACATTAAGAAGTTAAGACACTCGGGTATAACTCAACCCCTCCTCTTACAGTTCATAAACTCTTGCATCCTACCTATTCTTCTTTATTGTTCACCCTTATTCTTTCCTGGTTTGCTTAAAAAGGACTATGTCACAATTCGTAGAATACTGAAGACTGTCAGTAGGGTGAGTGGTGTCCCAGTGGACCACATAGTTAACGTCGTTGTCGATAGGCACTTGACTTCGTGCAATAAATTTGCTAAAGGGATTTTGTCTGACTTGGAGCATCCGCTTTACCCTCAGCTTTCACCTTGCATCTCCTCAGGTAGAACAAGAAGTAACTTCAGAAAACTGTATGCTCGCACGTCTAAGTATAAAATTCTATGATACCATACTTGGCACGTATTTTATGTGATGAAAATAGTGTCAGGCAAGAATTAACTAACCTTTTTTCATCTAGTAAATAAACAATATCCTCCATCCATCCATCCTTATATACCTTCAAGTTTTACTTTTATTATTTCTATTATATTTATGGTCCTGTTGCTTATTTGTTTGTTTTACTCTCATAATTGCAAACACCAACTTATCTCCATGACGGCTGTAATCTTTGTTTTTCCCCTCACCATATCATGTAAAGAGAACGTTATATTCAATATTTTTAAACATGTTAGGATTTCTATACCACATTGCCAATACTGTGTGAAACAAGCCAACGGCAATTTTCACTTGTATTATTATTACCTTAGCTGTTATCATTATTATTACTTCCATTTTATATGCTGCATGTTTTTGACCTTACCCCTATTGTAAATGTGGAAAATTTTCTGTGTGATTAATTTTATTTATAATTTGAGGAAATTAGATGCAATATTGTGATTAATGCTGAAAATTCCATTCTGTATCACAAGTACTGTTTTCGAAGTAAAGTAAATCATTATTATTATTAATATGAAATCCTGTAACCAATCAATCGAATCCCTGGAAATCTCCGCTGTTCGTTTTCTACATTTTTATCGTCAACATGAATCAAAGCTCAAAGGGAAAAAGTTACTCAGCATTTAAGCAAAATCTATATTATAATGAACAATTTTGTTGTGTAACAAGAAAGTGTGAAGTTAAAATAATTAAAACTATGTAGGCTACTGATTAAGCCACTCCATGCAGATGCATAAGATTTTCGCGGGTAGTTTCCGGGCAGCATATAGCTAAAAGATGAAATGTAATCAAGATATTAGTTATTTAAGTTTCTGAGTGATATTCACCAACTTATTTAAGGCGTATTTATTCAGCCTTCTGATTAGCTTTATGAAATGAAATTATTATCATCTTTTGTGTATTTTGTCACAGAATATACAATGTTGTTTATTTAAGTATGTATAAAATAGCATTTCATACTGTGTACTTATATGCTTCGAATGTATTCATTAAATCCTCGTTCGTTTCTTCGCATCTATAACACCAGAGAGCTATCTAAGACAGTGATTTGGTGTGAGTCTAGAAAATCGAATGACACTCCTATACACATTTCTTCATTTGGCAGTCAAAAATGCTTTAAACGTAATGAAAATGCTTTTTTACTAGAGCTTGAATCCATACCGTATTTTTAGTACAAGTATGGAATTTTCAGCACGTGATATCGGTAGCCCAATTTCGCAGACCGACCATAGATATCAGGTGTGCGTCGGCAGAGGATCGAACCCCGGACAATGTGCATAGTTAGCGAGAGTCCTAACCACTGTGTCATTGTACTTCAAGAGCAAAGCCTTCATAACTGTTTTTGAGAAAAATGAGCAATGACAACTCCATTAGTATACGAGCTTGCCTTGTAATTTGAAGGTTTTCGTCTATAACCTTGGTGGGTCAGGGAGTGAAAACCAGTGAGCATCCCTAAATGCAGATGAAACAGCTCTCCAGTAATCACTACTGGTTTCTGAGGATTCTCTGACAGAAGTCAGTGCATGATAAATCAGAAAATCAATCAAATGATGGCGAATCAACAATCGAAAGGAAATTATTTCTAGATATATATTGTGTTACTCATGAGTAGTAATAATTTTAAACGGAAACAATTCTAGTAATAAAACACGAGCTGTCACAAAAAAATTTCACTGCATTAATTCACCCAACATATTTCAAACTCAGAAGTTCATCTCGAATAGGCATATCTCACGAAAATAAATCGATACAGTGACAGACGTCTCTGGAAGATTTTTAGTAGCACTACTTTACGCGTAATTATACATAAATACCGTAAAAAGCAGTTAATTATTACATACGTACTCTTACTTATGGTTTTCGTTTTCTAGAGGTATAGAGAAAAGAAAGATTCCATGGAAAGAACAGTAACTGAACCATGTGCAGCAAATTATAATTGATGAATTAGCCGTTTGATGGAGCATAAGACATTAGGTGCTTCCAAGGAGATAACTTCAAGTAAAGGCTGGTGATATGAGAACTTAGTGACAGTAAAACAGTTATAGAAGAATACGAAGATGAAGTGGTACTTCTGTGTCAATATTCTACTATGTAAGAGTTATCATCAGACCTAATCAAAGAAGCTGACTGATATTTATTTTTTAACTAGCTTTTTCTATACATCTTAATGGAGTCTGCGATGTATGCTGGATTTTCACTCACAGGTCAGTTATTATGAGGCATATCTAAATGCTGTTCTTTCTATAAGAATCTAGTTCCGGAAACAAAGATCACGTATCTAAGAAGAAATCCCAAGTCAGATGTCGACGGTTTATATATTCAAAGATTTATATTTGATAGTCACTTGTTGATTCGCTTGATGACACATTAAACACATCGAAACAAAGACATTTTCAGTTATGTAACACGCATGTGAGTGAAAACAATGCAATCGAAAATGTTACCAATCAATGATTTTTTTATAGGACTTCTAATTTTGGTAGTAAAAGACTTCCAGTCTACGCATATAGGTTCAACTATGGAGGAGATGTCTAGATTGCTCAGCAGTAAGCTGTTTAACAAAAACCTTACACGGAGACCATGAATATTCCGCTCTCTGTCGTCTACAGGATTGAAGTTCCTACTTAAAAGAAACACTTACCTAAGTTCACCTAAAAGTTAATTAAATGTTACATTGATTCTTAATAATTATTTGAAACTTCAAAGGAGTGATGATTGGACAAAGAATATTGTTTTCGATAATTTCATCAACAGGTTCTTAAGTTTCATATCCGTATTAATGAAAGAATCAGGGTTATTAATAACATTAATGCTTTTCAAAGGTAACACCGAATCACTGGCTTCAGAATTTCGAACGTTATCTGAGAACAGATTGTTGATAGCTTATGGTCAAGAATGTCAGTATGTGGTAATATGTATAACTGTAATGCTAAATTGAACATCAATATTACAAAGTAGGTGGTTATGAATAACAAGGAATATATATATATATATATTCCGAATTGCACTGCATTTATGGAGAGAGTTACATTGGCCGTTACCCTAGTAACTTCATTTCTCATATCCGAGAACGTCTACCAGTGTGCTTAAATATCAGTGTAATGAAAACCATCGACAGTTCGGTATCAGACTACATGGTGCAAACGGGCCACAAAACCAGCATTGAGGAGTCCTTCTCTACCATCTACGGGGTACTAAAATAAATTACCAAAAGTATCCTGGTATCGAATACACCAAACAGCATTATTATTTTTGTTCCCTTAAGTTCCTATTGGAACATAGGGCTTCAACTGCACGTCTCCACTTGCTTCTGTCTTCTGCTGTACTTTTCACCTGCATTCATGTTAGTCCATACTGTTTCAAATCCTCTTTACACGATCTCCTCCATGTCACCTTTGGACGTCCCACTCACCGCTTCCCTTTCGGGTTCCACTCGAGCGACGGCCTGACGCGCACGTGATGTCACCCAGCGGCCTCCTCAGCGAGTGTCCATCTCTACATTCTCCTGCATGTTTGTTGGTTGGCGATTTGTTCTTGTTTTCTTTGTTCCCATAGTTTCTTGTTGGTGATTCTTTCCGGTCCGGCCATCTGATCTTCAGTATACAGCGAAGACAGTTGTTGTTGATAAAGGTCTGAGTTAGCCTGTTGGAAATATTCTTTGTGATCCACCAACCAAACAGCATAAGCTATTGCAATTTACCAAAAACCACCGTGGCTCTGTGTGCAGAAGTAAAGGGTCCGACTACTGTTACTACCCTGGCCAGCTGTGGATTTTCTTTATTACGTCCACCTTTATGTTATAGCCCTCTATGCAGTATATATATATATTCACCTACTCCTCGTTATTACACTTGCATTAACTAACTTTTGGTCCTCTTATTTAAACGCGGTTGTCAACCTACACTCTGACACAAATAAAACGCACATAAAAATAAACCACAGAGATTGTTCTCTTCTGTCATGCTTGACATCATCATTCATTCATCTGAAGTTTATAATATGCATGAAAAGAATTTAATTTGAGTATGACTCATGAGAATTAAATGGTGGATATTCCTTGTTATACATAATCATTTACTTTGTAATACTGGTGTTCAATTTAGTATTACAATTGTACCCATTACTATATACAGAAATATTTTGGATTATAATCTATTGACAACATATTTACAAGTAGATTTTGAAATTCGGAAGCCAGTGATTCAATGTTACTTTAAAAAATATTAAATTTTTTCAAATAACCCTAATTCTTTCATAATTGTAGAACTTGTTGATGAAATAATCGGAGATAATATTCTTTGTTCAGTAAGCAGTCTTTTGAAATTATGCAACTTGAAGAAAAGCAATTTAATATATATAAATTATGCAACGATGATGAAAGACTGTTGATTAAAAATGTTTATACCTTTTTTTTGGCTGTCATTTAACTGTCAAGCTTTGATTAGCGTTCCATACAATGTCTTCAGAGTTAAAATGTAGGGGCTTCCAATAAAGCAGAGTCATGTGTGATTTAATGTCTGAAATACCACTATGTATATATGAATATATTGTGAACTTCATGTGGAAGCGTAAGCTGTGATTTTATACTTTCGTGTTCGAAAACATAAGAAGTATGAATGATTACGTTATTTGTGTAAATAAACTCAATAACAAGCAGTTTTTCGTTGACAGACGTCATCAATATTGTTACATCCAGTGAGTTCAGCAATATATTCGGGTAAAAAATAACACTAATCTTGGTGACTATACCATCGCCATCTTAGTTCAGAAGTTAAGTTTGATACATTTTAGCTTCGAGATTAGAATAAACAAGTAAAATTTTAAAAATTCATTAAAGATCATGGACCACTGAACAAAAAGTTCATTGCAGATTCTATTCAGAACTATTCCCAGTATAGAAATTCACTCATGAATAGCTTCAAGTTGAATGTCTTCAATTTCCAAGTGACTGCACTGACTGGTGTCGATGATGTCTGCTATGGACAAAGAAGACAGTTTCTGACTGGTCATAAATATTTAAAAGACACCAGCTGAAATGCATATTTTATTGAATTCCAGGTCGTGCGCCCAGTCTCTGTTGGGAGCACCAATAAATACTTATGAAAGGTAATCAATAAAGTTGAAACGTAGGTATAATCCTCTTTGGTTTTCAATGATGTCTTAATTATCGTTGGTATGTGACGCACTGTACACTGAGAATTCAATTACTGTTTCATCTTTTTTATGAATACTGCGGTTACTGACATGTATTAGTTTGTTAAGATGTAAAATAACTTTGAAACAGTTTCTCCTCTCGAATCCAACAGTTATCACACTGCTCACAGTAGAATTCGACCAAAACGTATAAAACACAGGTTAAAGCAAAGTATATGTCAGTTTTTTGTTCGTTCCTATTCCGGTAGGAATTAAACAAATGAAGTAAGCTCTTGGATATTGATTTAAGTGAAGACGGAGTTAGACAAGGTGGTTGCCTACTATCTCCAGTGATTATCTTGATTGCGGTAGACTGGATATTGAGACAGATAGTGGGCAGCGGGGAAATAGGCATGAAATGGATCTACACAAAATACTTGGAGTATCTGGACTTCGTGGATGATATATGTCTGATTTCTCATAAACTGAAAGATATGCAAGTGAAAAGCAAGAAGTTGACAGAAGAAGCATCAAAGATATGACTTGAGGTGAACATAGAGAAAACAGAGTTGATGAAGATTCCTGGGCAACACCCACAGCAACAACAACAGACAACAATCAGCCAGCATAAATGGGAAAAATCTGAAAGAAACAACCTCCTTTACCTGCCGAGTGACCTGAGGAGCATCGTTTCAACTACACGCGGAGGGAACTGACGAGGATATCAAAACGAGGGATGGGAAAACAAGACAAGTTTCATTATTCTCAAGTCTGTGTGGAGATCGTCAGCACTCAGCATGAAAAATAAAATCTGGATTTCCGACTTTATGGATGAGAGACTTGGCGCATCATGAAGAGCACCTCAAATAAACTACAGGCCTTCATCAACATCTGTCTTCTCTTAGTAGTACTCAAGATCAGATGGCAAAAAAGATCGGCAACAGGGATCTCTGGGAGCGAACCAACGAGGAACTGATAGTGCAGCAAATGAGCAGGAAGAAATGGAGGTGGATTGGGCATACTCTGAGGAAGCCATCGAATAACACCACTTTACAGGCTATTGCTCGAGTGAACCCGAACAAGAAGTGGAGATTTGGTCATCAGCGTGAGGGTGAACTGGAGGGGGAGGTCATGAGAAGAGGAGGTGAAAGCATCTTGGGTGACGTGGAGGCAGATGAAGACGTTTGCAGAGAACCGAACGAAGTGAACACGTGCGGCTGAAGATCTATGTTTCTCTAGGAACTAAAGGAAACAGTAATAATAATGTTTTCTGTGTGTGGAAACAAAGTCTTGAGGGAGATATAATGGCGAAATTTAAGTTATGGTTTCAAATAAATATCATTAAAATGAATGATCTACTTTCAGCTTACCTCCAGTTCTTGGAAACGTTGATTCATTAGGCCTAGAGAACAATTTTATTTAACACATGATATAGTTTGCGAAGCATTATAAGGAAATCATCACTGCAAACCAATGATTAGTTATAGTGACAGCAAAAAATAAAAATGCCTCCTGTATGCCTTATTTCAAGAAGATGAATTTGGAGTATAGGCGTGTAAAGCCAATAAATTTAGAATCTAGTGACACTACGGGTTTTTCATCAGAGGAAATCAAAACCCAACGGTTAAGACTTGTCATGTACATATGAGTACAGTGTCCATTTGTTATCTTCTCAGTCTCCAAACCTTTCAATTTCGTCATTAGTTTTTAAATAGTACTGACAAATAAATTAGAAATAAACTGTTGAAAATATTCCATTTGAATTATTTTTGGTGCTGCTGTTTGAAAAGATGGCAGTATTAAGCGATTTATACACCGAACAAAAACTCAGGAGAAGTTACTAAGATAGTTCAGTACAACACTATTGGCTAAATCTGTTTCATCTCATCACTGATTAACACCTCGCTCTCAGATATCTTTATCTCTTTTATTTTGTTAATGCAAACGCCACTCACCTCGGTGTTTCTAAAATTTAAGTTAAAATTTATCTAATTTTGTGATTAATACAAAAATGTTTAGCTTATCTGCACCAATTTAATATGCAGTTAACTCTACTTCGTCTTTCACTTAGCTTCCCAGCGTGCTTCTAAGATACTGTTTCCTACTGATAAACTCCAGCTACTATGAATCACAACTGCATAATAGATCTCTATATTATCTTTGAGCATACCGTTGAAATTGTAAAAATCAATCTGAATTTGTATATGAAATCATATCATTTACCGGAAGTGCTAGTAATGAATAGTCAGCAAACAGCTGTTTCCGTGCAGAATTGCTTACTTCTACGAACATAACTCCCCTGAATGCTGCCGGGCTTTGATCAGTAAGGAGTTTTCACTGATGTTGTAAACCATCCTGGGTTTGAATAGAGGGTACATCAATGGAATTGTCTGTTTGTCTGTATTGTATATATACATATATATATATGTCACATTCATGTGTTAATGGATTCCTACCTAGCATGACCACTTTGTGAGAAGCGTCACGAATTAACTCTGTTGTGAGGCTATTACTGCTTTGTTTACGGAACGTCATCAATCATCACTGAACATTGTACAGCTTTAACTTGTTTTAAATGACTTCCTGTCTGATGACTGCTCGTAAGGCGGTGTACATTGTTGCGAGGTGCAGTTTCTCGCAAAAAGCAAAATAACAGTGAAAGCATTTGTACACTTCTTTCTGGTAGATTACAAAATGTTGTCTGTAATTTTTTTTTCCTTCACGTTCCCCAGTGGAACATAGGACTCCAAGCTAGTGGCTTGAAGTTTCAGTAGCAGTGTTGATTTTACAGGATGGGGTTTATAGCCTCATGCCCAACCTTTCCTTTTTACCACCATTATTTCTGGCTTAGCAAGGTAAAGGAGTGCGTCGGCTGGGGACCAAGCGAGGGCTATGCCACCGACGCGCTGTCTGTAAATTACGCTGAATATAAATAGAGCACCGTGCTAAATCCTAACCTAATTGTAAGTATATAGTTTGATATGAATTGTACAAATTTAAAATACTCTGGCAAAATGAATGACGTGGATTGGTTGGAGGATTTCATCATGAGCTGACATCAGTTAGAGAACCATTGGATGACCATCTGAGAGTACTGAACAGTTGTTTTCCAATGGCATTGTAAGTGATGTTAGCTCATGATGGAATCCTCCAACAAATCAAACAAAATCCTTACTAAAACTGATACTTGAGAATGATGTAGATATTGGCAGTCTTCCGACTTCTGTATAAAGGGGTGCATTAAAGTTCTGTTCACAAATATATTGGGGTAAGAGCTGTCTGTTAGCCAAAATTGGTAGACAGCAACGTTAATGTTAACGTCCCAAATCTTGATCCTAAGGAAGTCAAGAACAAAGACTTTGTGTGGGCAAATGTGATTCGCATACGTAAGGTTTGACCATCTCAGAAACAGCCACAAAAAGATGAAAGATTAACTTTCAGCAAGAAAACAATCAATCAGAAGACGGTGTTTCTCTGCTAGTAATAACGAATAAAAGTGTACATGAAAATGTATAGAGATCTCTTGATTTTCTCAATACATGATATGTTGCCTAACCCTTGTCTTGTGTCGTTACATTATAACAAAATAAATGAACAAAATATTATATACGTACTTTTGGTCTCTACAGTTGCTGTTTCTGGATGTCTGGAGAAATGATTTGTTCAATTCATGAAGTATGATATAATAGTAAACATAGTGAATTAATAATGATTCACTATACTGATAAAAGAGATACTGACATGAATCCAAGTGACTTTCTGTTGGCCATTTAAGAGGCAGTGATTTGAAAGTATAGGTGGATGGTGTTAATAAATTTTTGGCGTTCATTGGCTGCATGAATGTTTCACACATCAATCTGAAATATTTGATTATTATTCGTGGTGTTCACAATACTCAGGTGTCATTATATTCCATTTCTTAAGAAATACTTTTGCAGTGAGCGGGACATTATGGTTGTCATATCTTTAAACAAGACATATAAGCAAACAGCATTGTTGTTTTTAATAAAATCTTCTTCAGGCTTTACTCTCTTCTACGTAGATTTACATAAATAAAATTTTTTACTTCTGACGGTAATTTTGTGAATCGAAAAATAATAATAATAATAATGTGGTAAATGTTTTGAACGTCATTAATAACGATGGTTGTAATGATTATGAAATAATGATAATAAGGTGTATGCAGGTGGCGATAAGACTAATGGAGGTGGTTATATGTGTATATGTAGACAATTAAATAAATAAATTTGGTCAAATCTCAAAAGTTACTTAATATTAAAGGTGAAGTGGACAGATAATCAGAGTTTAAATAAATATCATAAAAGTACGAAGGAAATGGAAAATAAGACATAGTGGGAGGGCTTTTATTAGAATTCACCCAGGCCAAGGGAGAGACAAAGGTAGAACAAACTTCTTTTGTGTGTGAAGACACCCGGATTCCCATAGTTTCGGTTATGTGTAAAAGATGAGTTGAAATTCCGTTTGAAAGGTTCGGTGTAATACGACAGTTATCGTTACTACTGTGGTTCAGAATATTTGCCACATTATTATTATTATTATTATTATTTCATCAACAAACTCGCTGTCAATGGTTAAATTTTCCATATATAAATTTATTTAAATTATAGTAAATCCTGTAGAAGATCTAATTAAAAACAGCAATATTGTTCACTAATATGTCTTATTCTGATATCAATAATGGAAATATTTTTAAACAGTAGTGAAACCCAGTCTATCATTATTATTTGTATGTCCGTCTCAAAAGTGATTAAAAACACAATTAGACACTTGCATATTTCCCAGTATTAGTTTGTAGGGATTCGACTGATTGGTTACACGATTTCTTCATAAGCTGACATCGGTTAGAGAACCACTGGAAAACTACTTAAATAGCAGGGCAACCAAATTTTGCTACTATCCATCGTAATGCTTGTTAATTAATCTATTTCATTCTGATGTATCTCATCCAATTACCTTATTTGGTATCACCCAGTAATCACTCTCATATTCAACCAAGTTTCACAGTGAATGAAATATTAGCGTTAAAAATTTTTAAACAGCGCTTTGAATAAAAAAAATTCCGTTTCAGACGGACATATTGATAATTTTCGATACAATAAAAGATTCTATGCAATTTATAAATACTTTGGAGTAGAATATGCTGAAGATTCCCCAGTAGGCGTGAAAACATTTTCCAGAATTAAGCTGTTGTTAGTAATACATTGATTCGCTATAATTTCCGTATTACTGCTTCAAAGAAAGGTGTTTGAAACTTTCTAGTACACTTATCCAACATAAGTGTGTAAAGGGGTAACGTTTGGTATAACTCTACACTGTTGAAAGAAATCCATCTCCTATCAAGATTATGAATGTTACCCTCGAGGCCGTGTAACTTGTTTCGAGTTATTAAAGAAAAAATCACTTACCCTGTCATCCCCTCTAGAAGATTAGTAAATTTTATTTCACTCTGTAATTAAACAATCTATTGTGTTTGATCTGTCTTATATATTTTGTTTTTTTAACTTTATTGACACTCGCAATGAGCTTTCCAGCTTGCTAAATCGATGGTGTTTCCTTCAGTGGTAACTTCGGCCTATATGAATCTTCAATTGGAAAATACAAATCGGTAAAGTGGGGGAGGAAACATGGAGTAAAAGAGGTATTTTTCTCTCATTTGGGAACTTGGTTGGAAAGTGTGTAAAAATGGCAACATAAAATTCCCTCTCTCGTCACGTTCTCCGAGACATGACTGCATTCGGATTTACAGCGTTTCCTATGATAATCAGGCAAATCGTTGTGTGTCACATGATTCTGAACAATTATTACGATGATTAGCATTATAATTTTGATAATTTGCACTCATATCAGACCCGATGGGCTTACAAAATCGAGAGATGTCAAAATCACAATGTCACATTCGGAAATTTGATAATTTCAGGGTGTACTGGGCAGATGTCTCATCCTAAGTGTGGGACTCACAGGGGTTCGACCTCAGGACCCTCCGACTACAAGGCAAGCACATTTAGCATTCAGCCATTGGGACTCAATCCAACGGTCCATGAATTCTAACTTCTACCAATAAGTGATTTAGCGAGACTACTAGTGAGGTCTCAGTGGCTGAATGGTATAGGATTTCGTTTTTTACCAGGAGATCCTGAGTGTGCACTGCCGATGAGTCCAAACACTAAGACAAGGTAGCTGTAAAGTACTCACTGTTTTTTAATACTTCTCTAGCTGATATCAGACCATGGTAAAACTAGACAAAACAAATCTGATCCTTGCAAACCAACTTTTGAAAACGATTTGTCATTATTACCTTTTCAACAATAATGAGTGTTAGTCTAACCAGTGAAGACAAAAATGATACGTACCCGTCTTTTCTTCAGTTTTCCTTGAGAAAGTATTAGAGAAAGCATTTATGTATTGCCTTAGATTGTAATGCTAGTATAAAAACTACGTTATCACTCATTATTTTCGATCTCAAGAAAGCATACGATATTGGGCTTAAATACTGTATGTGTAGAATTTCAAATGAGGTGACTGTGAAGTGTACTGGTGATATTTGGAATTCAATGATGATATGATAGTTTCAAAAGAAGACGTGAAATGCCTTATAAGTAGTGATAGTGTTCATATGGCTTAGGTTTTTATGGTTGCATATTGTTAGGATATTTCCGGACTGGAAAAGTCTACATTGGCATCAAATGTAATAAGGAGATTTAAAGTACAACCATATGAATTAGCGAATAATAGTCAAGGTAGATATTGCAATGATATTAAGGACAATTTTATGCAATTGTGACTGATTATATAACCTAGGTTGCAGTTTAATTCCTTTTTACGTTCCTGGTGGAACACAGGGTTATAGGTCAAAGCTTTGATGTTTCGCCTGCAGTGTTGTTTATTTTGACGGTATGGGGTTGCTAGCCTCATGGCCAAACTTCCTTCTTTACCAGTCTTATTACTGACTTGGCAAGGTAAAGGAGTGTGTATAGTGGAAGGGGATTGAACCGCGAAACCCCTGCGTGGTTAACAAGCCCCCTACACCTATTACACCGATGCACTAAAACCTAGGTAGTCAAACATTTAAATGTTTATCTAGAATTTGCATGTTTGTAAGAGTAGAGGTTAAAAAGCATTTTTCTAATAGAGATTAGATTATGCTGTTTGATTTTGTAATGAACTATCAAACTAAGATTTAAATAAACAATTATAACACAGAGTGGTAATGACAATAAAGATAATGATAACGACGAGAGTAAAGGTAACATTTACACTTAATCTAATGTCATTCTCCTTGGTTTGGAGGACATGTTAGAGAATGACTGAATACACTTTTTATAAACGCAAACATTAGGCTGAAAAATCTCAATATTTTTAGATTGAATAACTTGTCAGTTAACTCTTTTCCCCAGGATATATGCAAAGCTGAATCAAAAATGTGCCCATAAGTTCAAGTCACGGACTTTTGAGTATGATAAAAGTATACAAGTGCAAACGCTTGTTAACACTAAATAGAATTAAAGCACTTAAACGTATACCATCATTAGGTTGGCAATTAATATCTGACCAATGATATTAAGATCATTAGTTAATATAGTAACACACTACTTACTTCGTCGTATCACCTAAATATAGAGAGTTTTATTTTGTTTTGTAATTATACAGTGTCACCTCTAAGTTAGGCTAGGCGCTGCGTGCGACATATATACAAATATAATATTAGATAAAGCCATATTACTGAGAATATCTACTGATGTCAGAGTGGAGCGATTAGAAAAATTAGAATGTTATAAAGTTATGCCATCGCACTTGTAAATATCATAAAACGGCTGCAAGTAGTACTTTGTATTACTGTTCATTTCAGACAGCAAAACCTAACAGAACGGACAAAATGGAACGGATATCTAGAACTGAGTGTTAGACCAAATCGAAGAGATCTGAGAAATACAGACTAGTAAATGCATACACTGTCCATTTCAACGTCAGAACTGCTTGTGTGAGAATACTTGGATACCGGTACTACTAAGGATGACCTTACTCAAATATATGCCATATGTTGTTAGGCTGTTACGAATTTATTAACGATGTGTCAAAATTATGGTAAACTGTCCTAAATAACTTTGAATCTCATATCACATATGTGATAAGATATTCACTTTAAATTCAACACTGGGATTTTTAATTATTTGCAATACCCGTGGATGTTGATTAGCCGTGGAATTCAGGATGCGTGTTTCGTCGTATTCGAGACTCGTCGTTTGGATATACCTGCATTCCGAAGCCAGTGATAATTTTCCCACCGAGGCCTGAACTTAACGCACATAGTTTCAAACTCTAAAGCGTTTCAAAGCGCCAAATCTACTAGATCAGTTGGGCCACGATAGCCACCTCTCGTGACCACTTAATTCGACTTTAGAATTCCCCATCGACTGATTGCATTATATCGCTGACAAGTCCGACATAGGACGAAATGCGCATCCCGGATTCCACTTCTGGTCACTATCCACGAATTAACTTCTTAATAAAGGCCTGGACATCGTCAAAGCATATGCTTAAAAAGTCGACATGTCAATCTGCGACCGAGCACTTCGGTCCAATCAATCGATACGATAATCTAAAGTTGAATTAAATATTTGTAATACTGTTGTTAATGAGGTGCAGTTTACCTCAAAGTGTAAAAATAACTGTGAGACAAGCTTATTGCGAAATTTCATTAATTGAAAATGCAAGTTATAGCGTTAGATACTTCAAACAATGCCTGAATATTTTGATTTCGAAGCAAATGAAATAACAACGACTATTTAATGCGAAGGGAATCCATCGCTTAGCGGTTTCCTGTCAACAAATGTCAATCCTGTTGATGTGTACTGCTGGATTGTGTAAGTGCCTAGTGAAAAGTAGTGAAGAATCTAATATGATATAGTTGTATTTAGTCTTGAGTGACATTCTCATGTATATCTACTCAAGAAGAAATCTACACTGAAGATAAGAGTTGAATTTCATTTCATTGTGATTGTTGACACGGGTATTGTAGACTGCTTATAAAAATGTGGAATAATTCTGAAACAGTTTGGTTTTTTGTACTGTGGTTACTTTTAAATTGGCATCCCCATGATTTAGTCAAAAACTTTCAATCATTGAGCGAGTTTCCGCAAAATACATTTGAGTACATTTCCATTTTCTTGGGAATTCGACGAATGAAATGAGCTCCTGTAAAATGTTTTCAGTAGGTAGTAAGGAAGTTTTATGGGATTTGTGGTAGTGAGACTTAAGTTATGATTTTAAGTGGATATCATATAAATGAATGATATATATATATATATATATATATATATATATATATATATATTGTATACGCACCTGTGGTTCCTGGAGACGTTTCATTAGGAGCCCTACAGAAAATAGTCATTTGATGTATAAGACAGTCAACCAAGCATATTAGGTAAATCATCGCTGATAATCGGATAATAATCAAAAGGAAATCAAGAATAAATAAATACCTCTTTAGTCATGATGATTTTTAACCTTGAGACATCTGAGAAACAATCTTCATGTTGACCTGATTCAAGTGACTAAATTCTACAATGTCAGAGATATTTTCAAACTGGGTGAGACAAATCAGTTGTTATCTCATCTGTCGAAACTTTCAAAAAAAGGCTAGTCCAGTCTCTCGTTTTTAATCATTTGCAGGGCTTCATCATGAGCTGATATCGGTTAAAGAACCAATGGAAAAACCAGCTAGGAGTACTGAACAGCTGTTTTCTTCCCTAGTTTGGCACTCTTCATCAGTACGCAATCACCACAGACTGGTTAGAACTCAAGACCTTCTGGTTACAAGTTCTGCGATCTCGTAGACCATTAAGCCTCTGGGACCCGTTCCAATGACCACCCGATGAGTTCTAACTTCTGTTTAATTCTTGACATAGCAGAATAACTTGGCAAAGTCTTTTTCGACAAGTTACCGACTCACCTTCAACCTGCTGCACCCTACTGGTCATGGCTTCTCAGTTTTAAAATTAGGCTTTATGGGTGAATACAAAAATGAGTAACTGAAAATGTTCAGTACTAATAACTGCATTATTTCAACATAAAATCATGGCTGTCTTATGTCTACGGATGTTTGAAGACCACTTTGTTGAAGAAATTTATCTCATACGATGATCATGAACATTCGACCCTCAGTCACTTACATTCTGTATGTTGACATTGAAAAAGTCACTTACTCCTTTCCATCTAAAAGGGAAGTAGATTCTTTTAACTTGTAATTAACATATATGCATTATTTAATTCAATTGGTTTTAATTTTTTTATTAAAATGACATTGTTTCTCACCTGAATTTATTGTAAGTTGTATGAATGTCGTGTCTTACTGAGAAAGTTTAGCTGGTGTGAATCATGTTTGTATTGACAGATCTCTCTAGTGACTCTATACAAGACGAATTAACCCGAAGTTCTAGTAATAAATCGGGGTCAATGGGCTCCAAGGGGTCGGCAGTGAGGAGGAATATTCGCCGAGCGACTCAGACAAGTCTCCATAGAAAATGGATATTCTCCAAGATTCATGGAGATAAATAAAGGAAAAGTCTGAAAGAACGCAGACGGTGGCGAAGAAGCCGCTATTTCGGAACGTTGAATTTAAAGGTGAAACCACAGCTGAGATCCTGAAGAATCGCTTATGCGCATCACTGAAAAAAGCCTTCTTCGTGGCTGAGCTACGGATTAATTTCTACAGCCGACAAATGATCAGTGGATGTGAGAAGGATAAACTGACGGTTTGTTTATAAACTCACATGATCTCATGGAGCTAGTTTTATTAGCCGCACAACTTAGTGTACACTTTTCAAACGCATATCTGAACATTGTCCGGCATGGTAAGTAAAACGACAATGCTCATTTCGTGAAATGTTGGTGAACTCAAGCCAAGAAGCTTCACCAGAATAGTTTTTCTGGATTATCTACAAGGTGAAGTCAAATGGTACAAAAAGCGACAGGTTTCACCATTCGTGTATGGTAGAGGCATTGGTGATTCGTCAATCCAAACCTCAACGCTGTATACAGAAAACGTTTGTCCAGTCTCGTATTCTACTATGGTCTTAACCCTTAACTAATCGTTCCCTGTAAAAGTATTTATTTATGAATTTTGAAATTTTTGTTATACTTTTAGTTTGCTTTTAACAATGAATTCCCTATTATCACTGATGTTTCTTTTATTTAGTTCATGTGTTATCGTATTTCAACTTGGGAAGGCTAATTTTTGTAACTATAAGTGATGTGCTGCATCAGTGTTAAAGTCATGAACGGGTGTTTATGCAGTGGCACAGAGTGAGATTAAATATATCGCATCTGTTTCTTTTCGTCTGAAGAGTCAGATCACACTGATTAAAAAGAGGGTTTTAATAAAATCATACAGTTTGTTTTCCTACCGGCGTAATTGTGAAAGTGGTATTACCATAATTCAAAGAGTGTAGTTACATGACTACATTAAAGCAATCCAATAGTTTGATTACCCAAAGATTCGGGTATCTATTGCGATTTGAAGTTTACATGTAGTTAACCCTCTACTGAAATTATCTGTATGAGTTGTAGCAAATGTTTGTGACTTATGTCGCAGCGACATTTAAAGCATATTTTTAAACATTTATCATGAAAATGACTAGTATATTGCAAGCTTACCTGTTGTTACTTCAGTTGCTGTTTTAGGAGTCCTAGAGGGAATAGACATTTGATGAATGAAATGGAAATCATAGAGGTAAACAAATAAATTATCAAAGAATGCTTTCGCTAGCAATGTTGCATTATTTGTGACTTTGACCCATACACAATCTGACCTGTATTTTAAGGATTCATGCCTTCTTGCCTTCTATAAACTGTGTATGACAAATCCATGTGGGATTGGAATGTCCTAAATGTGTTATATAAATACATTACACATTTCAGATAAACTACGTCTTGTTATTGTGTTTTCGAAATTCATATAGCAAACTAATTGCTTCAAATGTTTCATGCTATGCTTGTCAGTTTCAACTTTATTTTAAAGTGCATTCAGGAGATGTAAATTAAGTTAAAATCTGGTGGGAGGCCGTGAACACTAGGATTCACCAGGTTGAAGGTGAGGAAGTAACTCATCGAAGAAGATATTACAAAGGGGTCGTACTGTATCGCGCATGAATTGGCAGAAGTTAGAATTCAAGGGCTGGTCAATGCATCGAATCTCAGTAGCTTATTGGCCCATTAGCTCGATAAGCCTGTAACGAGAAGGTCCTGAGTTCGAACCAACATGTGGTGGTGGAGTACTGATTAGGAATCGCAAACTAGGAAGAGACAGCTGTCCAGCACCCTCAACTGGTTTCCCAATGGTTCTCTAACTGATGTTCTCCGATGATGAAATCCTCCAACCAGTCAATATAACAAAATCAACAATTGAAATTATATAATTTCCACAGGGAGAAATGGAACTTCACACAAAGATTCAGGAGTTTATATTCCCCTATGTAAGGGGTATTTCCTGATTTCACTAAACAAGGCATCGAATATCCTTATTCTCGAAACTTTCTGTACAGATTAATGTGGTTTCTCCGTAGTATTTTAATTGCACTGATGAGTGAATTTACAGTGACGAATTAAGATTTTTTTTCCTATTCTAATTATTTCACTGGTTTATTAAGATGGTATGAATGTATTGTACGTTTTAGTTGACATTTCCAACCAAAAAAATGGAAAAGTTTTCTTGATGTTAAAAGACAAGTCTGTTAATGAAATCTACTTCGCTATGAGAGTGATATAAACCTTCTACTCTGAATCATCTACATTACGTGTGTTTACATAAATATACAACTTACTTCTCCAATCCAACTAAAAGATAAGAAAAATTTCATTTTGGTATGCAGTTTACAAAAATGTTGTATTTAATTCAACTTGCTTAGCGTACATTTTGACTAATTTTCATCCATGGTGTTTCTAAAATTTGTCTGCTTTCTAACCTTAAATTTACAATTTCATTCAAAGTGAATACTTCGAGGAAGTGTATTTTGACTGCACCACACTTTGTTCTTAGGGGTTACGTTAAAACTTTCAGAAGATATTTTTAAGTATTGTACTGTCAGGTTTTCCAGTGGTTCTCTGACTGATGTCAGCTCATGATGAAATCCTCCTTGCAATCAAAATGAAGCCGTATAAAACCAATACTTGAAAATTAATCTGATGCTCACTAGCGACTGGCCCTATTCAGGCAGTGACCTGAGGTTCTAGTGACCAGCCGTGACAACTATGGTACAGAAGGTTGAAGGTGAAGCAGTAACTCATTGAAGAAGACATTGCGAAGTGGTCACGCAATGTCATAAATTTGGCAAAAGTCGGAATTCATGGGCTAGCCGTTTGATCGGGTTTTCGTGACTTAGCGGTCAACGAGATCGCTAGACATGTAAACAGAGGGTTTTGGTTGGGTGAATACTGCTGGGGAGTGTCGAAGTAGGACGAAACAGATGTCTAGTACTGCTTGTGGCTGGTTTTCACATGATTCTATAACTGATTTCAGAAGATATTTTCGCAGTTTGTGAAGTGAAGGCTGTTGATTGTTTACGTGTTGTTTGTCACCCTCATACAGGATTAATTATCAGTATAGTTCTCATTCCGATCATTTTCGTGTGGAAAGAAATTCCTACAAAAACGGTGATCTCATTTTCAATAGATCGGAGTATCAATATACGCATAGGTGAAATCAGCGAATTCTCGAAAAGTGTTCACCTATCATAGAATACTTGTCTATTGACGCATTCGAGGTGGGATATCTTACACTGGGTATAAATTTTTCAACACCATACGCGCAAATGACTCTTCTCAAACAATTCGACAACTAATTGGTGATTATCTGCAAACATGTTTTGCAGAAAAGTGGTGGAAAGCGACAGTACTACAAACTTAGATGTGCAAATTCTTAGCAGTTATCATATTTGAATGTAATATCGTTTATTACAGGCAATTAATAAATAAAACAGAAATTTTTATTCAATTTGAAACTTACATAAACGACGGAACCAAGCACCAGCGTCAGATGTTGGTAAATTGGCAATGCCTGAAATGTTATGCATAATGAATACGTTGATTCAGACTATTGGGTGGGAATTCGTACAAAAATATGTTCAATTTCATTTGTAATACATTGAAATAAAACCCTGAGATGAGAATGGACTCACAAAGAAGCAACACCAAGCTCATCAAAAACAGCAGTTTCATTTTGTTTTTTCTGTTTTGTTTTATTACCACACTTGCAATTCCACCTCTTTATATACATGTACTTATGCTCTCCTTATCTCAAATACAAATCAGTATGATGTGAATTTTAAACAATCATGAAGAGTAAACAAGCACTAGTTAGTCATGAGATGCATTGCCATATGCTTCGGCTAATAGAAAGTATCATTGTACCATATGATGATGTTTTCGTTTGAACTATTGACAAAGAAATAAACACTAATCAGAATATTTTCATTTTTTTTTCACATCAATACATTTGTGTGAAGAAAATGCGTATATAATTCTTGCTTGCCTTACGTGTAGTTCAAGCTAATACGGAAGTGACAAATCATCATAAGCAGGGGACTTCTGCAAAAAGAATTACTTTACATTGCGAACTTGACACATAGTTCGTTTATTGTTGAATTTCAATTCAGAGTTTCCATATCCAATAGGCTAGCGTCGTCATTCATTCATTCGCGGGTCACTGATAAAATTGTAACTGTTCTAAAACTACCATTTACTTTTCCTCAGTTTTTCTTGGTTAAAAATCATAAACTGTTCAGGTGTCTTTATTAATATATATGTTGAAAGAGAGTTTCATTATTTGTATGCTAACCAAGAAGTGAATTCCATGTATGTGAGTAAAGTCATTATCTATTGTTCAGTAAAACAACTTATGTAATAATTAATTTCTGTAATTTAAATGATTCATTTAAGAAGGAGTGAGTGAATTGCTAGCCCACTGCCTTTAAAATGTCTATGGCTAGTGAAGTCGGTTGGTGCGAACTTCTAGACATTCCCAAATAATGACAAAACATCTGCCAATTTCTTCTGGATTTTCAGTGATTCACTGATTGATATTGTTTTGTGAAGAAGCTGTCAGGCATGCACGTGGTCCAGGGTTCGATCTTCTGCCACCGACGCACTTCTTTACCCCACTTGGCCAGTAATAACACCCTTGAAGAGGTAAAGTTGTGAATGAGGCTATCAACGCTATCCCGGAAAAATAAACACCACTGCTAGTGGTTTAATGTAATCTAATTTTGTTTATTTTTTATTCCTCTAGCCTGAGTTGAACGCGTCACATTGTTGCTCAGTGTATTAGCTGCTTATAATCCTATCCATCATCCGTCTTTATTACTCATATCCTTTCCCAATTTATCCAAATAAAGAATAATTTCTAAGTTCAACCTTCTGTGCATAAGTTATACAAATGTGATTTCTGAACTCCAGTCATTAATTCTGGGGTATCCTGTTAACTGATATCATGTGACTTATGTAAGTACGCTGCAACTGCTCTGTACTTAAACTTGGTTTTCTCAGACTGTACTCAGCTGACAAGAGGCTTTTGTTGCCTACTTGTCCTAACAGGAAATTCAGCCTTGAGTAAGGAATTTGTGTGTAACCCAATCATGTCTGACTTTGTGAATTTAATTCATTTTGGTTATCTTCCCACATTATCAGGTTGTAAGGTGTCATTTTCCTTCTTGCCTCAAGGGCTTTGAATCCTTTTAATTTTAGTACTTCAATTTCCTTAATTTCATTGGCTTTCAGTTTAAAAAGGTATAGATTGACTTTTTTCTTTGTATGCAATGACTTTTGAAGTATTCCATTTCACAGACTACTTACTGATGGTTTCATATGTGTAAAAATAATGAACTGGTAGTGCTTAATTAAGATCCATAGGTATGTGGAAGGTAACTATGAAAGTCTTGTTAACATCCACCTCGTCGTCAGTGTCTAAAACATGAGCTAAACTCAGGCTGAGAATATACCTTGTCTATTCCTCCCTTAACCACGCACGATGATGTTCACAAATTCAAGTCTGAACATACCCAATTGTATACTTAATAAAACTGGCTCAAAAGAGGCAGTCACACTGATTGTTATTATCGTTACAACGCACTTGGATTCCTAGTGAAACATAGGCTTTCGAAAGCGCATTTCCACTTCGTCATATTCTCTGCAGTCCCTTTTAGCTAGTCCCATGATTGCCCATAAGCCTTCATTTCCTATTACCACTTTCTCCTCCATGTAGACCTCGGACGCCCAACTCATCGTTTCCCAGTCAGGCTCCACTCGAGCGATGGCCTGTCATTCGGCGGTCTCCTCAGTGTGTGTCCGATTAATGTATATTTGAGCGTATTTGTTGAGCTCTAGGCAACTAATCTTCTGTATGCAGCCAACAAATGCGGCTGTTGATAAAGGTATCCAGGGATATGCTAGAAATGCTTTTCGTATCTCACCACGTTTCTTACCCATATGGAAGAACTGGGTTAACAATACTGTAGAAAATCCACATTTTGTAATCTGTGTTGAGCACAGAAGATTTTCGAAATGATATGTACCCATAAAGGAGACGAAATTAAATATTCTTCCCTTAACTCTCGAAAGTAAAATTGAAACTGTGAACTTCTGCTGTACTTAATGCTCTTTTTAGTAAATTTGTTTTGCTGCTGTTATCACCGGGGCACTATAGCTTTACAAACAACTGAAACTTCGGAGTTGTTGGCACGCCAGACTGCCAGGGCTTGAGATTCATGTCTTAGTCAATACACATTTATGGGTATCCATTCGGACTCTGTACCAACCTAATAATTGACTTCTTCACTACGGCAGTCACTAAAGAATATTACTCCAGCTACCTGAGAGAAATACTTTATTAAACTACATTTACATGTAAAATGTATGAAGCCCAAAAAAATGCGTACACCGATCGGTCCGTATGGGTTTGCTATATGTTCTCGTTTTTATTATACGGTCCTCACTCCTAGTCATAAGGATGTCCGGGAATAAAAATACTGTCACTTATTTGTTTCTTGAGGGTAAAATTTATTTCAGTATGCATATCATTGAATCGGTCAATGTTGTTAATCAGGGGACAAAGATGATCTCTTTGTGATTATTGTTTAGATATTGAATGCAAGGTGGATGTCAACAAGATTGTCAACGTTATCTACCACATTCCGACAATTCTTAAGTTTTTGTATAATCTCACTAACATTTTGAAAGTTCAATATCTTTACAGTTATGTAGATGTGTGTTAAAGCACAATTACCTGATCTCTGGTAATAAGAATTCATTAGACATCTCTTTTTTTCTGTACATTCAATATTTTTAGCTATCAGCGACAGGGATCTCTGGGAGCGAACCAACCAGGAACCGACTGTTCAACAAATAGGCAGGAAGAAATGGAGATGGATTGGCCATACCCTGAGGAATCCATCAAGTGAAATCACTAGACAAGCCATTGCTCGAGTGGAACCCGAAAGGGAAGCGGTGAGTTGGTCGTCCCACGGTGTGGTGACTTGGAGGAGGTCATGTGAGGAGGTCATGAAAGCATGTGACAGACGTGGAGCGAGGTGAAAACGTTGGCAGAAAACAGAAGGCAATGAAGACGCGCAGCTGAAGCCCTATGTTCCTCTTGGAATTAAAGAATATGATAATAATAATCTTGAAGACTGAAATAGTGTATTTGTTGACAGGTACTCAAACTCCTCATAAGTTATTTTGGTGAATGAGTTAAATCTAACAGCTGGTCAACGCGATACGCTATTTTCCACTGCATGGATTGTAAAAACTAAGCCCAAAATACAATTATGTGGAAATTACTGCACATCATATTTTGTTGTTTGTTGTGAAGAGCATCTAAATCATCTTGTCGCATTTGTTTGAACACCGCAGTTTGACAACAAGATTCATATAATTTAGAAGATTTCATCATGAGCTGACATCATTTAGAGAGCCATTGAAAAACTAGCTGGGACTGCTAGAGAGAGAGCCGTTTTGTCCTTGTTTAGCACTCTTCACAGTACGCATAAACCACAGGGTGGTTAGAACCTAGGAACTTCTGGTTACAAGGTTAGTGATCTCGTAGACCCATAGGCCACTGGGACCCGATCCAATGGACAGTCCATGAATTCCAAATTCTGCCAAATTTATTACAAGGCGCGACCACTTTGCAATTTATTCGTCGATGAGTTATTGCTTCACCTTCAACCTTCTGGTCACGGCTTCTCATTAGAACCTCAGGTCACTACCTGAATAGGGCCAGTCGCTAGTGAGCATCAGATTATTTATTTTTATGGATTCATGAAAACGTTATTAACTATTGACAACTAGAGTCTTAGTCGCAAACATTCATGATTGTGTTTACATCTGAGGATATTGAGCGAAGTCACGAAATATTTCTTGGGAAGAAGGTTTATGTTAATAAGACGGAGAAACACTCTCCTCATCCGATAGCAACCTATTGTTGTAGTATGTCAGTTACTGGAGAAAATGATTAATTCTATTTGATTGGTCATATGCATAGTTCTGAGTATTCGTGATGCCACTTTGGTGGCAGCGTCAGTTAATGAAAATACTTTATATTGTATCTTGGCCTCTCAACAGCCTTATGAAGTTCTAAACTGAGTATGGTACTAATTGCAGCATTGTAGAAAAACCCCAAAATCTTCCTTGGGATGATTACCTGAAACATTCAATTTAGGTCATTATAGGTTAATATAACTGTACAACACTGTGTGATTTAATAAAGATAAAATCTTATCCATAATGGGGCATTATAGGTTAAGTCTTTTGATGTTCTGATGTGTTCAACTAATCCCTATGCAGCCATCATGAATTTTGTGGTTCAAATATTCAACTGTATTACAGTGGCAGTTTATTATAGGTGACACTGTGATAGTCATAGACACAACTGTAATGGTTTGTAAGGATTTCCGTTTCTATTTTTATAGCTACTTCCGTCCACTTGCACTTGGAAATACAAGTACCACACACTGATGTCACTCACAACATTAGACTACAGCCGACTTCTATGCCAGCGTTAAGTGAAGAAATTATATAACAGTTTAGCGCCTAGCAATCGTCAGCTGACAGTTTACAGCGGCCTTGAAAGACAATGGGTGCGACAATTTTAAAGGAGTGCGAATCAAAATTTAGCAATATATCCTCTGCTATCCTGAACTTCTAACTGAAGAATTTTCTGTTGTTCCAGAAAAGCACAACACAGCTTTCGACTTTTGTCAGCTGTAAAAACATAAGAAAATCAACATGACATTATATTTTGTGTGATTGAATTATCATTATTTTTCCATGGGTTCCGAATGGAAAATAGAGCTTGAACAGCACATTTCCTTCTCAGGCGATATCCTCCATGTAACCTGCTGACCCGTATCAACCTGAGGGTGTGACGTCTAATGTTGTTCACTGATGTCCTCAGCCTTTACACAATCCACTTCCATTTACATCTGTACACATTTTAAGTGATAGAATCTTGGTTGGTTCGTTGTTAGAGCTCAAGGTGGCCTCAATAAATCACTGAGTTAATGGAATCGCTCTCCACTAAAATGCTTAATTTCATCTGGACTTATCATCGTTTTAATAGTTCAGTTTTATCGAATGACCTATACATTAACTTGCGCGCTGATTCGAGCTTACTTCCGATTGAACGCTGTACAATTCTTCAACAAAAATAAGATACACATTAGATTATTACTTTACCTGAAAATCTTACATGGATTAAAATGTATTTTGAAGCTTATGAGCTGAAAACGTTTGTACCATGTGTTTACATATCGCCTGAAATAAAGCTTTATTAATATTACTCTTTGTTAATTATCCTTTCTGGCCGGAAATTTGTTCTTCAGTGTCGGTTAAAGGCAGCTATTGACAAAAGTCTACAGTAACCTGTCAGAGATGTTTCCGATGAAGCTAAAGTCTCTGAATTATGTGGAAACGATGATTTGCCATTCGTGTAGGAATTTGTATCATATTCGTTATGCTGAATTCAGCAGATTTCCACTTTGATTTCAGAGTGACGATAGTCCTTCTTGCTTTTTTGATCGCATCTTTGATTTCCTTTATCTGAGGCGCCTTCATTTAAGACGATATCTTCCAGATCATATAAGTGAAAGAGGTTAAATATATCTTCCTCACCAGTGCCTTAGCGATGTTCACTTGGAAACCTATCTTTGTTTCTGGAATTCAAGTAAGTCAACCATAATTGTCCATTTGAAATACTCATCAGAAAATATGAAGCATATGCTTGAAGTGCAAGAGAATTCGATCCATATCAATTATTTTTCCTCCTACCATTCATACAGGCTACTAATAATTGACATCCACTGCCATTAAAAGCTAAGGCTAACTTATGACAAATATGGTATCGAAAAACACCGGAGATTTTAATCCAAGGTGAATAGAACTGCCTCAGTTTCTATCATCTCTGATAAAAATTGGTTTTGACACTTGGATCATGAATGCTGAATTGTTAGTCTTAAGTGCTTATGCAATAGCATCTGTAGCATGTCTGTTCACTGGATGCAGGAAGCAATTATTAGGACCTGAATTCTGAATACACTGTTATAGAAAGTAAATCATAAAACTGAAGGTACATTACCACTCCTCGTTTTATATATGATGCTAACGAGTAAAGAAATATTTCGACAGAAGGCCTCTACAGTGATCAACGTTGAACAATTCATAATGTACTGGCTGATAAATCTAGCAGTTTGGTTACACTTATCAGATTAGGTCACTTCATCGGCCGTCTTGGGATAGGAGTCTATCGCATTCCTACTGAGGGTACATGTGTTTCCTTCATTTATCTGCTGAATAGAACATTGTGTAGCAGTGTATGTACTGGATGAGTAGTCAGCTTTATTACTAACCTCCGTATTTTCCCAGACTATTACCGTCCAAGGCGGGACTTGGGAGTGCACCAGTAAGAAGTCCAACCTGGACCAATTTCTTAATTAGAGAGAAATCTACCATTGGTTCACTGACGCATCTCCAGGCAAAATATGCAAGGAAGCGATTATTATTTAAAAATAACATAATTTAGAACGAACACACTTTCCTCCGTGAAGCTTTGAATTGTTAAAGGTCTCAGTATTTGTAAATCTGAAATTTTTTAGTGATAAAACTGGCGAACGCTTGTGAGGCAACTTGTAAAAGACTATTCTGAAAGTGTCCTTTTTGACATCTCCATACAGCAAGTCGACAAACTTGTTCACAATTACCTAAAGATTATAAACGAGGTCCTTCTCTTGACATCCATCTATCCTTTCAGGTTCACTTGCTTTTCTGTAGTTAATGACGTAGATTGCACTAGGAGAACATAACCTAAGCGTGCTTACAAACATCTGTCAGTATGGTTATCGAAAGGAGAAAGTAAAACAAACTATTAGCTCAACTCTAAAAAACTGTTATATTGGAAAATGTTTGAATGAAACTGAACTTCAAAATCACCTGATCTTTCTACACTGATGGACTCGAGAATTATATTTTTATATTTTCACTCTTCTTAATGCATCAAATGTTGCATTTCAATAGGTTAATTCATCTGGTACTCATACGCAAAACTTTAGAGATGAGTATTGCCAGATGAGCTAAATTCAGAAAAAATACCAATCGTAAAGGAGCATATGTAGTGGACTATTTATAGAGTGAAAGTTAATTACAAGAGTGAAAAGATGATGATCCTTCAGTTCATAAAATATTTTAAAAAACAATATAAAATAAATCTATTCACACAAGTACCATAGACACCGTACTCATACACTTGAAAGACAATACGTAGAGTGAAATTCTGTGCCACTTATCTTGAAAAGGCTTTTGTCATTTGAGATACCGTAGTAATTGATTTCATATGACCTATTCTGAGAAGCATTCAGATTATTATAAATAGCGACTTGAAATTTACAAACATCTTATTTACTCTGGGATTTATTTAACGTAAACTTTTGTGCTGGACGGAATGGACCCAGAGAAATCAGCGGACCTAATGATACCACTACTGGAGAAGGTGTGGAAAGAGGGCAAGGTCCCCGAGGATTGCAATGAAGGCTACTTACTCAAACTACGATGAAAAGAAGACTTAAGTTAGTGCAAGAACTGGCGTGTTATTATGCTCTTGTCCATCCTAGACAAAATGCTGAGCTGCATCTTCCTGGAGCGAACCAATCACACCCTGGATAAAAAAAGTCGACTGGAAAAGGCTTAATTCAGGAGGAGCATTCATGCATCGACCAAATCTCATCACTTTGGATCATCATTTAACAGAGCTTGGAATGATAGTTAGCTCTTCATCTCAACTTCATTGACTCTGAAGAGGCCTTCAATGGCGTAGCGTCGATCAAGAGGTGATTTGACAAATACACCGCTACTATGAGATGACGCCAATAGTTATATATCCCATCCAATAGTTCTACGACAATCCTGAATGCCAAGTAATCCACAACATTAAACTCACAGAACCCTTCGAAGTGAAGACGGGAGTAGGACAGGCTGGCTGTCCACTATCTCCAGTGACTTTCTTGATTGCGGTAGATTGGATAGTGAGACGGATAGCGGGCAACGAGGAAATTTTTTTATTATTTATGATTGCAGCTTGATTCCACAGAGTACTGTTTGGTAGAAGTATGAAATTTTCAGCATGTGATATCGATAGCCCAAATTTCGCAGGCCGACAAATAGATATCAGGTGTCCGCTGGCAGGGGATCGAACCCCGGACCATGTGCATGATCGGCGAGAGTCCTTACCACAGGGCCACCGACGTATAAAGTGGACGTACTCAAAATACTTGGAGTATATGGACTTCGCCGATGATATATGTCTGATTTTCCACAAACTTGAAGATATTCAAGTGAAAAGCAACAATCTTGCGATGGAAGAAGCACAAAAGATAGGACTTCAGGTGAACGTAGAGAAAACAGAGGTGATGAAGATTCCTGGCCAACAGCAACAGCGGAGACAACTACAGACAACAATCAGCATAAATGGGAGGATCCTGAAAGAAACAATCTTCTTTGCCTACAGAAGGACCTGGGAAGCATCGTTTCAACTACAGTCAGAAATGACGAGAATATCAAAGCAAGGATCGGGAAATCAAGGCAAGCTTTCATTTCTCTCGATTGTGTATAGAGGTTAGCGAATTTTCGACTCGAATGTGAAGTCACTGCTACTATACGGATCACAGACTTGGCGCGTCATGAAGAGTACGTCAAACAAACTTCAGAACTTCATCAACAGCTGTTTTCGTTCAATACCACTGAAGATCAGATAGCCGATCAGAAAACATCAGCAACAGGGATCTCTGGGAAAGCCTCCACCCGCCAGGAACTAATTTTGAAACAAATATGCAGCAATTTTCACATTAAATGTATTCCTATAGATTTAAACAGCCAGATAACAAAATTCTTGTCTTACAAGTCGTCTATAAAACGTCTCACCTGGGTGGTATCTTCTAATCAACAATGTTGTCATTAACATGAATACAAATAAAGTCCAAATAAAAAGTTGCACAGCACTGAAACAGAATTTAATGTAATTGCAGTTTTAACATGTAACAAGAAATACTTAACTAGGGGATAAGTTTATGATAAAGCTCTTCGTACATGTGGCTGCTTCGGGACGTTTAGGACACTGGAGTCAGTTCTTCTTGAAGTACTCCCCATTTACTCTCTGGATTCTGTTCAGCTTTAAAAAAATTACATAATCAATTGATAAGTTATTCAACATTTAGGAAGATATATACTAGCGATTATGTGGAAAAATATGTAGGAATAATCACCAGCTTGTAAGAGCGTTGTGGAAAAAACAAAAATATAAATCCAGGGAGAACAAGTAATTCATTTCTTTGTTTCATACAGTACCAACCGAAATCCATATCTCAACCTGTAAGCGTTGGTTGCCAAAAGAAATTAAAGTGAGCTATATGACTAATTAGGTAGACGCAGTACTGTGGTTTGCATTGTAGAGTTCTGGATGACCGTGCTCGTAGTCCGGGGTTCGAGTACCGACTGGCGCACAACACTGCCTGCCTTATCCGGTTTTAATCTCGACAAAGAGTGAAGGTCTAGCGTGCGGCTAGTAACCTCAATCCGTAAAGCTAAATCTTAAAGCTTTGCGTTTCACTGGGATTACAAAGGAAAAAATAGAAAAAATTGTTAAAATGCCTTCGCTGACACTTTTGTTTTTACTCAGGTGCTTTAGCAACAGGTCTCATTTTCATTCCTAACTCTAAAGTCAGTTCAAGCTGGCTACATGGCTTCCCCATAATCTTCTTCTCGCATGACTTCTTCATGTCAAAGAGCCAAGTCGTTGTTTTGCATATGGGTTCCACTGGAACAATGGCCTGATGCGTGAAGTCACTCAGCGGTCTCCTCAACTTGTATCCGACTCATTTCCATTTTCGTCGGAGTATTTTTTGACCAAAAGATTCTTGGTTGGTTCTTTCATAGAGTTTTTGTGTTGCTGATTCTGTCTGGCCAGCCATCTAAGCCTTATTATGGAGCCAGAGAAGCAAGTTTTTGGTGGAAGTTTGAAGCCAGTTAAAAGTGCATTCCATAAGGCATCAGGTTTCTCACTCATGCAGATTGAAGTGATTGAATTAACATTAATGTTGCAAATGCTGAGGAGTATAGCAGAGGTAGAGTGTAGTTGAAACGATGCTGCTTAGAAAAGTGAAGTGAACTCTTTGAAATATTTTTTCTGTAGACAGTGATTGGTGCTTGTTGTTGGTTTTCATTGGTTGTTTTCCACACCTTTATCTTCCTTATCTTCACCTGAAATCCTGTCTTTGCTGCTTCTGCTACCAACGTATAGGTTTACGCCAGTAACTCTTTGAATTTATGATATTAAACATTATTAGTATGCATTGTCTCAAACTTCTAATGTCCTCTTGTCTGTCAGAAGGTTTCCTCTTTTCTCACTGCAGATGTAAGATATTCCGCGTAGTCTAATTCCACACGGTCAGGAATATCATCGGTGATAGTAGGCAGCCAGTCCTGAATTCACTTCAAAAGTTTCACTGAGTATTCTGTTGTAGATCACTTGACATGTGAACCTGTCATAATACTTCGTGGTCAATTATGTTGAGGGCCATTTCAAAGTCGATGAAATTGAAGTTGAGGTCTAATTTTAATTCTACGCTGTGTTTGATAACCATTAGAGCCGCAATTTGGTTCCCTAAAGATTTCATTTTCCTGAATATATCTATCTCCTGTAGGGGTTTTGAATTGAGAGCTTTCTTTATTCTTTCCAGGATGATTTGGCCTAATATTCCGCTTGGGAAAAACAAAAGCAAGATTTCACGCTGGTTCATTCAGTGGCTTAAGTCAGTTTTTGATAAGGTAGCCTTTCTTTTAGTCAGTAGGTACCTTTCTTTTTCTTCCAAATTTCTGAGTCAATGAAGTCAACATATCAACTGAGACTTCTGAATCCGTCTAAGTGTTTCGAACATCAGTAGACTGATTGCCCGCAAAACGTTTGCTTTAGTTTAGGGATTGGTGTCTACTGGGAGTCCGGGAACGAGGTGTGGGCAGTAATCATTTCAATTCTTTAAGTGATTTCTTTGTCTTCTCTGTTTTGTAATCAGGTTTAGTTTGTGTTGATCTCTTCTCAGAACAATAACTTTATATAATGCTCTGAGTACTCCTTCGCCTCAGAACTATTCTGCTCCAGTTTCTAATGTGTCGTAGATATGTCTTTTGTTCTCCTTATCGCTCTTCTTTACTTCTTTATTCAATGTGGTGTTTACTGAACTCAGATTGTCTTTCTACTTCTCGTCTTTACACGTAAGGAATTCGAGGAACTTCTGGACACAGCTCTTTCCATGACTATTAGTGCTCACTTATGAAAAGTCATGAAGTAAGATGACAGCTTTTTCAAGCGATCTTCGGTCTTCAGCGATTTCTTAACTGATGTCGGCTTGTGACAAAATAAATCATGCAAGGTTTCAATTTCTGTTTAATTTGTTATGAATCATGGGGTGTATGATGCAAAGTATTTATTCAAATGCAAAAAATGGTGTTGAACTAGTTGTATTTTCTGCTCCAGTTATAATTATTATTTCATTAGTGTAGTTAAACTAAATTGTTTAAGAGCATTAAATTCATCCGAAAGTTTTGAACTGCATTGTTCTTTGGCACACTAATGTAAATGTCATCAGTGTAAAGTACCCTTACACGGTATCTCATATATATTAGTGTTAATAAAGTCTCGTAATTGATATAGCAGGTACATACAAGGTATTTGCAATTAGCGGTGTTCTCTGAGCTGAGTCGTTTAGTCGCGGAGCTTTCGTCGTCCTTCTGGACAACATCTTCAGCGCAATTTTCAGCATAAAGTGAACTGATTTAAATTTCTATAAGCAATAGATTTGCGTCTTCTGGTAACCATCTTTACATATCTATTGATCATTTTCTATTGACTTGGATTTTGACCTTTCTCGTCACATGATTTACTTCTTATCGGGTCATATATTTGGTCTGTCTAAACATGTTTGTTAACCGCATATTCATCTGAGTACCAGGCTTCTAGGAATTTCCTGGCACTTTAGGTGTTTTTACATTATCCCCAATCAAACCGATGTCTATATGCATTGATATGAAACAGGAATATATATCAGGTCTTTTAACGGCTGATTTGTGTTTCTGGATTCTGATTCAAAGGGGACGCCCACTCTGGCCGATGTAACGCCTTTTACAGTTCATACAATTTACTTCTTAGATAGTACTATTTTTATCTCCTTTTTATGTTGGATCTTTTGGTTTGCATAACATCGCATTTAGTGATTTGAATAGCTTGTGTGTTATATCTATTTCAAACTGTCTTAATATTCTAGCTGCTATTTTAGAGATATTTTTATATATGGTAGCATGAATTTTTTCGGGTTCTTATATGATAGTTTCTTGTTAGTGTTGTGATTCAATTTTAAACACTTTTTGATGAAATTATGCGGATATCCAATCTTTTTGAAGACAGTTAGTAGGTATTTTCCCTTCATTCTCTTCAACACCGTAGTTGTGCTTCAGTGTGTTTGAACTCTTTTTTCAACAATGTCTGAACACAGTTTCTTTCGTGGTTAGTTGGGTTATTACTACTTCAGCTTAGTATTTGGTCTGTGTGCGCTGATTTTCTATATACTTGTGTTTCTAAATTTCCTGTGTTAACTCTTCTGATTGAGACACCTAAAAGTGGGATTTTGTTATATGTTTCTTCTTCTCTAGTTGTTCATCAACAACATACCACAGACATGCAGTAATGTAAATGTCTTTAATGTAAGGTGTCCTTGCATGGTATGACATATATGAGTGTTGATAAATTCTTACAACTGATGTGGCATGTTTATAAACAGATATTATACAGAAAAAAAAATGATCACATACGCACTTTTCGTGGTTTGAGTTACTACTGTAGACGTCCTAGTGGAAAGAGTTATTTAATGCACAAGACAGTTAATCAAACAAATATATAATGAATTATCTTTGTTAAATCTGTGATTAATTTTACTAGCAATGAAATATGTACCATTGGGTGTAAAGTCTCTATGTTTGTCATCCACGTGTGAACATTTTTGAAGTAAAGAGTGATGAACTGTTGAGACTTAGAATTTTATTAACAGTATGAAATTTTCATATGGAGAAATAAAAATTCTAAATACAGAAGAGATATTTTCATGTCCTTTCTCAACACCGTATATCCAGTCGTATCTAGTCCGTGATATTTGTTTATTTCACCGTAGTTTGTGTGAATACGAAATTTCAGATTTTAACAGTTTGGGTTACCGAAAAGTTCCTTAGTGTGTATAGAAATCTTTCAGGTAAAATAGGAATGTATAGTATATAATTCGTAGAAGTGTTTTACTATCTGTAACACGACTTTGATGTCTTTTCAAAAAGCTTCTATTGGCTTACTGAAAGTTATTAAAATGTGCATGCAGGTAAAGACTGTTTCTTACGGATGTAATAGGTCAGTTAAAAGCAGAGTGACAATAAATAATCTAATAACTTGAGGAAGTCAGTAGTATTAGGTTTGTAGTAGTGTACCGCTTAAGAATCGCTTATGTTGATTAACCAGTCCTACACAAATCACGGATATTTTTCATTCTCAATAATATAGCCGTTCTCAGATGTTAATAAAACATTACTTACCTCGAATCCTTATCTACAAATTAGGTATTAACATTTTTTGTAATTTACAAAAGCACTTTATGCAATGAGAAGTTTTACCTCATTTGTTTTGTTTATTCAGTTGCTGAGCAGTTCCATTTGATTGCATTTCTTTCTGAGAAATGTCGATCAGTTTAAATTTGGCTTACTATTTCATGTATTAGCATTTCCTTTAATTCCTAGAGGAGCATAGTGCTTCAGCCGCGCGTCTCCATTGCGGTCAACTCTCTGCTAGATTTTTCACCTGGCTCCAAGTCTGCCCAAACGCCTTCATCTCCTCTTCACATGACCTCCTCCAAGTCACCCTTGGACGACCAACTCGCCGCTTCCCGTTTGGGTTCCACTGGAGCAGTGGCGTGTCTAATGATGTCACTTGCTGGTTTATTCAGAGTATGGTCAGTTCATCTCCATTTCTTCCTGCATAGTTCTTGCAAAATCGGTTCCTTGTTGGTTGGTTCCTTTCCAGAGATCCCTGTCGCTGATCTTTTCTGGCCATCTGATCTTTAGTAGTGTTGAGCGAAGACAGCTGTTGATGAAGGTCTGAAGTTTGTTCGAGATGCTCTCTATGACGTCCAGTGCAAGTCTCTGATCTGTATAGTAGCACTGACTGATTTCACATTGGAGTTGAAAATCCGGATCTTATTTTGCATGCTGAATGCTGTTGATTTCCGCACAGACTTGAGAGTAATGAAAGCTTGTCTTGCTTTTTCGATTCTGGCTTTAATATCCTCGTCGGTTCCGCCTGTAGTTGAAACGATGCTTCCCAGGTAGGTAAAGGAGGCTGTTTCTTTCAGGTTCCCCCTATTTCTGATGACTGTTAACTTTTGTTGGAAATGCTGATGTTGCTGTTGGCCATGAATCCTCATCACCTCTGTCTTCTCTGTGTTCACCTTAAGTCATATCTTTGATGGTTCTTCGGTCGCCAACTTGTTGCTTTTCATCACTTGCATATCTTCCAATTTGTGGGAAATCAGGCATGTATCTCATCGGCGAAGTCCAGATCCCCAAGTTTTTGTGTGGGTCGATTTTATGTCTGTTCCCTCGCTGCCCGCTATTTGTCACATTATCCAGTCCACCGCAATCAAGAAAATTATTGGAGATAGTAGGCAGCCAGCTTGTATTACTCCAACTTTCCCTTTGATGGATTCTGTGAGTTCAACTTTGTGGATTACTTGGCATGGAGCTTTGTCGTACAACTGTTGGATGAGATTTATAACTGTTGGCGTCACCCCATAATAGCGAACTAGTGGCTCCACCTCACTAATTCATGTAGCACAGAAATAAATATTTTTGTGATGTCTGGTACCACACTGCTTAAACACTGCATTAAGGATACACTGGTGTGATTTACAAAATTGAACTTGATGTATTTAAGTTTGATAACATTGTGACAAGAGATGTTGATTATAACTCTGACTGTTACATATATTCATTATAATAAAGATTGAAAATAAGAAGAAAATGGAAATTCATATTTGAGAAGTAGAGTGAACCAAGAAGGATTTGACATCTACAAATAAACTTGTGTGCGTATCTTACACAGTGAAGTTAAACGGTAGGCTGGGTTATTCACATTATACCATGATACCTTCACAGTCTATCTAGATGAAGATTTTTGGAGACTGCTTTGTTGAAGCAACGTCAAGATATGCGATTAAGCATGGTCTATACATGGATGGTAAAAGCTGTTTCAAAACACTGTAATTAGACGTTAGTAAAGTTCTTTACAAATTAAAAAGTTTTCTTTGACAGATGTCATGAATAGGAAGAAAATGCTGCATAATTACTATCCAATTTTGGACTCAGATCTTGAAATGTACTACAAGAAATATTAAATCGGTGGATGTAATAGTTAAACGGGTATATATATATATATATATATATATATGAGTACACCACCTGAGATGTGCGTCGGTGGCACAGAGATGGAATGCACATTGACCACACATATGGTCTAGGGTTCGAACCGCGACGCACCCGCTTACCTTTATAAGCCAGTAATAGGACCGGTATAGATGGAAATGTTAGGCACGAGGCTAGTAACCCCATTCCATAAAAGAAAAACTCCTGTTACAGAAATTTCAAGCTTCTAGCTTGAAGCACTATGCTCCACTGGAAATGTTAATGAATAAAAAACACCACCTGAGAATTATTTGAAATCTGGGTGTTTTGGAGTCACTAGCTATCCAAGAGCTGAAACCCCACGGTACGTATCCAAAAGAAATACATATGTAGTGAGAGCAGGCTGCTAGCCAATCGGTAGACATTAATTTACGTCAATGTCTAGGTCACTTATATTCGCCGTGACAAAATATGAACAAGGCTGATTCAACAGCCAATCACAGCAGACTTAACGTGGGCAAATAAGATTCGCAGATGTATGGCTTAACTTTCAGAGAAACCAGAAGTAACCAATAAGAAGACTGTGTTTGTCTGCTTGAATATACTATAATAATGTACATGAAAAATATATAAATACGTGTTGATTTCCGTAATAAAACAATCTGTTGCCTGACCCTTTTCTTCTGTTGTTACACAAACACTAATGAAGTTATAATTCCAACCGAAGAGGAGAATATGACTAATTCCATACCATTTTTACATTTGAATAAATAGTTTGCATTAAACGCACAATGATTCATAACAAGTAAAAGAGAAATTTTAACCTTTCATGGTGCACTCTGCAATGAACCGACATCAGTCAAGAAATTACTGAAGACCAGAGATTTCTAGAAAAAGCTGACTTTATGACTTTTCATAAGTGAGCATTAATAGTCTCGAGTTAATTTGACGGTTGACCGGAAATTATCCTGGAACTTTCCCACCCATTTATTATAAATACACAAAAGTACAGCCAAGTTGATCGTTTCGTCGAAAAGCAAAATTTTCTTCGCTGTAACCGTCATTTTAATCATTCCTATGATCCAAGGTGCATATTATGTAATTTCACTGAACACAGAATCATATGACAGCAGGTATAAATGTCACGTGTTTCTCGTTACCAAGGTGATTGGTTAAAATCTATCTTCAGGATTTTAGTAAATCTAGAATTTAGTGATATCTCAATGTATTCACAAGAAATTGATGAAACTTCTGATAAGTAATCAAGACTGAATTGTCAATATTCCACTTTAGATGAGACATTTCAAGACTGGGTAAAGTACATCGGATGGGTTCGCTTTATTCTCAAAGCTTTAGACACAGCCAAATCAAGTCTGTGATATAAGTGCAGGTCGCGTTAATTTGTGTAAATACAATGCACTAATTTATAAATGATTACTTTTAAAAATCTGAATGGTGCTACTCAATTACATGTTTGTGTCTCATTTGAGTTGAGTTTTCCTTATCATTGTTGCCTTACTTGTGGCTGAAATCATTGCAGAGTTGCTAGTTTCTATCTCAACCAATTTACAGTATGAGATGTTATGGCTTATAGTTTACATATGTAGCCTAAGCCACATATAAGGTTCGACGCTATGATTTTCAATACATCGGTCACATATAAAGACCGAAAATATGTTACTTTTAGATCATTTACTTGTTCAGTTTTGATACTGTTTCACGACCTACTGAGTTGAGCACAACTGTAAACTTCGATTGCGGAAACTTTACTGTGAAAAATTATGTAATGATGTCGAAAAGTGGTGGATTATAATACGCAGGGGGGTGATAAGATCCCACTATCGTATATTTGAAGTTGATGAAATTGTCAGACAAAAAATGGTTTATGTGTAGTACAGCCAAAAAGACAACAGTGAAACGTGTTCGTTTTTGTGCAAGCAACGAATATGCCGGGAAACTTAAAATTGTTCCCCTGTTTACTACCTAGACTGATAATCAAATTTACAGAAATAATACTTGAGAATAATAATAATAATATGCATAAATATGTACATAATATGTACAAATATGTTGATAACTAGTACCACATTCAGCTGAAATCATTTTTCTGCTAAATTACTTCAACTACAATTTGCCGATTTCAGCAAAGATATTGAATGCTCGCGTTGGTTTTCGCGATCACTAACGATTGGTTAACGTTAATGAAGAAATAAATTAAGCGGACTGCCCCAATAATATTAGCAATGAAATCATAGACAAATAAAAAGGAATCACTCTTAGATGGAATCCAAACTGGAAACAACAAATTGTGGAGTCAGTGTGAGAGTGACATGGAGGTGATCGTATACAAAGCAATGGTAGATAATTAAATAGGCTTTTGGAAAGTATCAGGGAATGGATAGATTCTGCTGAAGCCTTATTCTTCACTGAGAAATCATTTGGAATACAAACAAAATGCTCGGTTTTTTTAAAATACATGGTACTGTGGATATCATTGCATGACTTAATGTTGCTTTCAAGTTTCTCATCGTTGAGGTCATTCAAATTAAAATCTTAGTCATTACAAATGATAGTTCCATTGGTACTGGAAAAACATTATCAGCTTTGCAATTTGTCATAATAAATAATGACATTTTATGAAATATATTTAGTTATTTGTTGATGAGTACTTATGAGGTGAATGCTGAACATACTTTTGCAGAAACTTATATAACGGAATTTACCTAAAACGTTCAAAGAAAATTTCAAATTTTGACGTAACAGGTATCATTTGTTTCAAATAATTTTGTATTATTTGGTGAATTTTTTAATATATTTTTAAATACATATGTCCGCTGTTGATATAATCGGTAGCTATAGGGAAGCTACGCTGATATTTGAGGTTAAACGTAATGTTATTTGGTAGAGAGTGACTAACAGTGAAGGTTGCTTTTGTCGCTCAAGGGATAACGCCTTGCAGTCTAAAATTTTGAAGGCCGTGTTCGAGTTCGAGTGAGAACAACATCAGTCACTGAGGCTGGCAGTCGCATCCAATAGAGAATTCCCAAACAGGTGAAATACGTATCCTCGATTCTACTGCTAGTCGTTACCATCGAAATCACTTCATCATTTATTCAGATTGGTTACAAAATCGATTGATTTTTGATAAATTAGTGTGCCGGCATGCATTTGAATGAAATTCGTGATTTCTTGGAATGTGTGAACATGCTGGTTCAGGGAACGATTTCACATATGATTTGTCACACCGAAAAAAAACCCTTGTAACACAATTAATCATTGTTCTCATAACTATTAGGAATATAAACATTTTGTGAACGAAATGTTTGTGCCTTAGAAAATACTGAATAAAGAAGGGTCTCAAGTAAATATGGCAACAGTAATTTAGACGAAACTTTCCGATGTAACAGACATAAATAATAGGTTGTCATTTTTCAATACTAAACTTACATAACCAATCAAAAATGTATCCAGCTTCAGAAGATGGCAAATTCACAATAGCTGAAATATATAATAAATGACGATTAAGCTTTTTATCTTAAAGATTTTATCATTTATGCTTATGTGAAATGATTGTCGTCTCATTGTAAGGCATTGAAATGTGAAGCAGAGCAAAAACTGAACTCACGTAGAAGTAGAACTAAGCCAGTCAAGATTAGAAGCTTCATTTTATATTATCAGTACAATTCATCGTTTTGCACTTATATATGTAAATGCATATATGCAATATCATCACATGCTTTTTAATGCTAATTCTTTATCTAGTAATTCTGAAGACTAATCTGGCAGTAACCATTGGATACATTCCCAATGTATCATGTTTTCATTTGTACTAGTGACAGAGAACTTGAAGTTACACGTCAAAAGATAGCGTGATACTATTTTCATTTTGTAATTCTCAAATCTCTGATGCGTGATTAACTTAGAGCCTATTAGTGGCAAAACATTCTTTCTAATAAAGATAATGTGTTTCTGCAATTAAAAGGATTTATTAAATTACAAATACAAAGACGTTAGAGTTAATAAGACATTGTGTTTCAACCTAGATAATGAATATTCATCAAGCTAACGTCATAGCCTACAGGTCTTTGGATTGTTCTCTAGTGTAGTCTCTGGTTTGAACTGGTGGTGAATTACAGCTGAAATGAAATCTCAGCTTGGTTTTTCCTATAGTTGTTCAACTAAAATCAGTTACTCATGGACTTTACGTTGAAACGGGTCATTTGTTCAATGAACACTTAATCACTGTCCACATGTGTGTGTTTTCCAAAACGATTTATCGCTGAGTATTGAGGGGGATGCTGAATATAATGTAATGACCAAGAAGTGGTTTTTATCGACCTTATTCACATAACAATGCTACACTTCAAATGATCCAAAAAGGAAAGCTCAGTGAAGTCTTTAAAACGAATGCGGGTGGATTGAGTTATGCGGAAGACTTTGAAGACCGCGAAGACAGGACCGGTAACAAGACTGTATAAGATTCGGAATTGGTGGATGACTTTTGTGTAATGTAGCATAAATGCAAAGACTTACAGGCGAAAAGGATTAAGTTAACAAAAGAGGCAGATAGTGCAGACAGAACTTCAGGTAGACTCAGAGAAAATCCAGTTGATAAAAAGGTAACCAACTAACAACAGCAGGAAGCACCAATCACTATCGACAAGAGAAATTTAAAAGAAGTCAATACATTTTCACCTGGACATAAAAGTTTCAACTGCAGGCTTTCAGCAAGGCAGATATTCATGACTCCGAAGTCGGTTTGCAAATCTTCTTCGCTTAGCGTAAACAAAAAAAATTCGAAATTTCAACACCATTGCTTCTACATGAGTCAAACAGTTGGTGCGTCACAGGAAGCATTTTCAACAGGTTACAGAATACCATCACCAACTTTCTTCTCTTGGTCCATACTAAAGCTTAGATGGCTGGCCTGAAAGAATCAGCGACAAAAAACTCTGAAAATGAGCCAATCAAGAGACTACTGCTCAAAAATATTCCAAAGAAAGTGGAAATAAGTCGGATAGAAGTTGAACAGACCGGTGGGTGACTTCGTGCATCGCACCATCTTTCGAGTCAGATCCGTGTAGGAAACGATGGTTTAGTTGTGTGTCGAGTATGACCTGAGGATGTCGTGTGGGGAAGCGATGTTGGGCGACCGTACAGTCAGATAAAACAGACTCTCGAGTGCTAAATGTAGGTGAAATTTATCAAAGATGTTGTATGCTCCACTAGGAATCCAAGGGGATAATAATACTAATGATAATAGGTGTGGTTTTGTGCACTACGCAGAAGGTGAAGGCGACAGAATGAAATGCTACTGAAATACTGAAAATTCTGAATAACATTCGTCAAATAGACATAAAGTCTAACGAAGCCGAACCTACCAGGTAACGAGAGGCCTTAAGTATAAAAAACTGGGGTACTTAGCGAACCCGTTCTGCAAACAATTAGGCCTTGTGCAGTTTATTTGTATTTTACGAATAGACATAAGCCACTCCGTATACTTTCATCCTGGCTAGTTTTGAATTTAGATGGATTGTGTGTCAGACTGTGGGGAGAGAGGAGACTGGAATGCTCTGGATCACCAATGGGAAAACTCAAGAAGATCTGGATTTTGCAGGTGAGGTATATGGTATGTCACATAAACTCGAAGACATGTAGGTGAAAACCAGCAAATTGTCTGAAGAAGCAGCGACGACAGGACTGCCAGTGAACTTAGAGAAAACGGGAGATGATGAAGATTATCAACCAACAACAACTGCAACAACCAATCATCATCAACGAGAAAGATTTGGAAGACGTGGCCTCCTACACTTTTCTGGGAAGCATCGTTTCAACTAAAGACGAAGCAGATGAAGATTTCAAAACAAGTTAGAATCGGAAAGGCAAGATACGCCTTCATCAATCTGAAACCAATTATGAAACCTTCTGCAATGACTCGGCATAAGGAACAAGATTCACATTTTCGACACCAATGGTAAGTTGGTTCTTCTGTACAAGTCAGAAGAGGGAACTTCCAACAGGTTGCAGACTCGCATCAACCACTGCCTCTGCTGGTTCCACACTGAAGATCAAATGGCCAGAAAGAATAAGTAACAAGAATCTATGGTAATAAACAAACTAAAAACTGATTGTTCAAAAATACGTAGGAGAAAATAAGGAATGGATCGAGAATATTTGTAGGATGTCATCGAATGACATTCTGCGCAGTGCAGGTCACTGGTCGAGTGAAATCCCAATGAAAAGCGACAAGTGCATCGTCCTAGTGTGACATATAGGAGAAAATGTGAGAAGGAGATGAGAAATTGTGGGCAACCTAGGTCCAAGCTGAAGAGGAGGGTAGAAGATAGGACAAAATGAAAATGTTTTGCTGAAGCCTTATGTTCCACTGAGAACTCAGGGAGATTATAATTTAACAATAATTGAAGTTTGAATATAACATTGAATTTCTGTAGAAATTCATGCAGACTAACTGTCAGTGACGTTTCGGGTAGGTGCGAATCAGTCAGATTTCATGAATAGCTAGACAGCATGTTATAAACCACATTTTGTTTGTGGAGTAGTTAGAAAGAAGAGAACACGAAGTTCAACAAAGATATCTTTCCGGCGATTTCATTCTCAAAACCCGTACAATCGCATTTATATAGATTAGTCTACATGGATACAATTGTTATTCGCTTAATTCCACATAGTAACGAAGGTGACAATAATTTTCAACTTGATATGGAAGTTTGAAGGTACGAATATACACTACAAGCGGCTTAGAGACAAGATTGTATAGGATTAGAAAACAGTTAAAACGTATGCAAAATTAATATTTGATAACTGGAGAAATAATGTTAAAGGCGAATAAAAGGTGATAATTATTTTCGACTTGATATGGATTACAAGAGGCTTAGAAAAATCAGGGATAGAACGAATTCCAAGTGTGAACAAAATGAGCATGGAAACAAACTGAAATCAAAGCGCCGAAGAAAGCGCTGTATCTAAATCTGAATTTCAAGGGAGATTTGGCAGTTAATATCCTGAAGCGGAGAGTATCCAGCTCTTTAAAGAAGACCTTCCCTGCGGCAACATTAAGAGCGACATCCTCTAGCCGCCCGACACATCGAAACAACATGAAGAACAAACTCTTGCATATGACCAATTCAGTGTGCAAATACCAGTTCACCTGCTTGTGCTGAGCTAGGTACATAAGTCATTGTATGCATGCCTGATAGGATCCCACATATTTTGGTATTGACTGTTTAAACTTGCATTTATGGTATGTTATCATTCTCACGCATTTTGGTAGTGACTGCTAGTTTTGTATATTATCATTCTCACGCATTTTGGTAGTGACTGCTAATTTTGTATATATGGTATATCATTCCCACACATTTTGTTACTGACTGTCAATGTCGCACATATGGCATATTATGATTTCTCACACACTTTGTTATTGGCTATTAAGGTCAATTATTTCAAATGCTGTAGCTGTCCATATTGTTGTAAAATGTATAAATACCATGGCTTTCTTTATCGTTGTTGCACTTCAATACACAGTCACAGTCCAGCCTTTGTCTTTTGATATTTGCGTGCTTTACTAAGTCGGAAGGTACGACGAGCAGATAGACAGATTAGTTCAGGCGCAGACAGAATAAGGTGAAAACGTCATCATTCACTTCCCTACAGTTATAACAAATTGGCGACGGGGTTTTACTTAATTCAGTACAGTTATAACAATGCCATTTAAAACTTGTTGGAGAACATTACCCAGCAGGGCTGCAAAAAGAAGGCGCCAGTTCAGTCAGAAGTGTCAATAATGAACATATCATCAACACCTCCCACAGCGTCTCAGCCGATTCATTCACAGTAATTTACAAGTCAATAGAAAGCAAACAAAACCAATGTGTTTCCAACTTCTTTGTACTGCAGAAGTCCTTGCAATATGCATGAAGAAGCCAGAGCTGTGTGTTCAAAAGAAATTAGTCTAACCTCTACAACTACTATGGACCTAGTTTGGTATGTTCCTTTTGCTTCCACATTTTTCTTCTTTTTTCGTTCTTTCTTTTCTTTTTGAGTTTTTTTTGTTCGCTGTGTGTCTGTTCTTTAGTCTTTCAGTCTTCATTAGATTCATCTAATTTTTCCAGTTATAAAAACAGTTATTTTAAGTTTGTTTCCTTACTTTTCCTGTTCACATTTATAATTCGTTTAAAAGAACTATTTTACAATTATATCATAATCCTGTGCATTTTTTGTCTTTCTACGGCTCTTGTAATCTGTATTCACACCTAACTTTCATTCCAAGCTCAAATTATTATTTCAAATTTTCAGCTATAAACCCAGTTAGTTTAAGTTTGTTTCCATGCTCCTGCTGATCACACTTGTAATCCGTTTAAAATAACAATTTTACAATTATATTCTAATCCTGTGTAATTTCTTCTTTCTGTGCCTCCTAACAAACATTTCAAGTTGAAAATTTTGATTTCAATTTGTTTCCATGCTCATTTTGTTCACACTTGGAATTCGTTCTATCCCTGATTTTTCTAAGCCTCTTGTAATCCATATCAAGTCGAAAATAATTATCACCTTTTATTCGCCTTTAACATTATTTCTCCAGTTATCAAATATTAATTTTGCATACGTTTTAACTGTTTTCTAATCCTATACAATCTTGTCTCTAAGC